GGTAAAAGGAGGCCATTCCGAGAAATGTCCTCAAGCTCTTGACGTCTCTTGGCGCTCGGGTATTCTGTGACGGCCCTCACCTTATTGGGATCCGTATGCACCCCTTTCTCATCGACGATGTGCCCTAGGAAACTGACTTGCTTTTGCAATAGAACACATTTCTGCGCTTTAAGTCGTAACCCGGCTTCTCGCAATTTTGCACAAACTCTGCGCAGCATCTCAATGTGCCGCTCTCGTGATTCCGTACAAATCATGATGTCGTCTATATAACAAAAAACCTCTTCTCCTATCAAATCTTGGAGCACCGTGTCCATTAATCTTTGAAAAACCGCTGGACTGGTGCTTAGTCCGAACGGGGTTACTCGAAATTGAAAAAGCCCTTCGGTCGTTGTGAACGCTGACTTTTCCTTTGCCTTCTCCGAAAGTGGTATTTGCCAATACCCACTACAGAGATCAAGCGTCGAGAACCACTTCTTCCCGGCCATACTTTGGAGAATGGCGTCTAAGGTGGGCAATGGGTACGAGTCCTGCTTGATTCGTTTATTCAGTTCCCTATAGTCTACGCACAAGCGCAAGCTTCCGTCCTTCTTTTCGACTAACACGATAGGGAATGCCCACTCAGAGTTACTTTTTTCAATAATCTTCCGATTCTGCAAGTCACTGAGCAACTCCTTAAAGCAACAGTCCAAGGAGGGTTTCAACCAATTCAATCCTGAGGTGTGGAAGCATGCCCCAGCCCAAGTAAAGTTCATAGGAACTGTCACTGAATTAAAACTTACCTTTGAAATGCGTAGGAAGGGCTCGAACTTCTTCGAAAAGGGCGGGTCCACCGAGCCTCGGTGGAGCCGCCCCCTTGCTGCTGTGAAGAGCGCGTAGTTGATTGGCGGTCGTTGCGGGACCGCCGGGACTATTTGAGGTCGATCCTTTAAAGCAATCGATGTAGTGATGCCGACAACGCTGAATTTCTACATTTTTTCCTTCTACCTTCTACCTTCAAAACATGAAACGATCCCATTATTGCGCCCCAATTGCAATAGCTGGCTACTTGCCAGCAATTGCCAGCTATTGCAATTGGGGCGCATTTACTGCGGGCATGTTCATACAACTCGTCCAACGAGCGTCTTCCTCCATTGCTAAGTGGCGAGGGGGAGCCCCTGTCTAAGTCCCTGTTCGACGTCTTTTTTTGAACTTTTCTTTCATTATTGGTCAACTTTGCGCCCACAACCTCATTATCGGTGGTTTTTGCCCGTGAATTCGTTCGATCCCGACGGCCGTTCTTTAAGCCTCTTCTTAGGCCATGGGACGGCGACGTTCTTTCATCTTACGTGGTTACTGCTCCATTTTAATCCTGACACTTGTCTTTCCGAGTGACTCTACGACACTAGAACGCTTCACGAACCATCGAAGCACAACCGCGCCAGTGATGTCCGTCTCCCCCTCGCTGCACCCGCCTCATTCACCTTTGACAACTTTGACCTAATCTTCCACCAGTAGGCTCCGGCCCTTCTCTTACATTCCTGCTCCTTTCACGTATCCCTTCAATATACACGGTTAACTCTCCCACTTTCTTTCCCTTCTCTTACCCCCGCACCCAATTCCTCTCCTTTTCAAGACACTTGGCTTATGCGCTCAGCAGATTTACTATGGTACCCTCCAACTTTGTTCCCATACCTTGAACCAATTCCGACAACCAAGTCCTTTAGTCCCTGCCAAACCGACACACTCTGCGCCCGCCTGCCGCTGCTCTCCCCGCCAACATTCCAGTGTCCTGACACTACCACTAGCCCCGTGCGTGGAAATATATCCTGCTTTTCCTACCCGTCCACGACAAGGGTTCTACACTTCTCCCCTGCGCCCTCGACCTGATTGCGAAATCCTCGATCCCACGCCCATCCACTTCAGCGAGTTAGTTCCTACATATCCACGTCTTAACAGTCCAGCAATGTAAAATGCTCACATCCCTACTGCCGGTCACCCTCCATTCAACTTCAATTTTAACACAACCAGTAAATCCATTCTTATTTAGTTCCGCACACGCGATTCACGACTGGATCTGTTCCGGTCCTTAAAGCGGACTAAGCTTAGCAACATCAAAAGCCGGTTTCCTTTTGCACGAGCCAACACCCTACATGGAGTATGCTATCATAGACGCCGTACCACTAGTGCAGTGACGCGATTCCTCCGCATCTCGCGTCCAATCCTGAGTTCTCTCCTCAATCAACCGCGTCGAATAACCATCCGGTCGTCTGCTGCCTATACTGCCCATACTCCTTGCTTTCTGTATGATACGGGAAATCCGTCCTCTTCCGGGTTTTCCCTTCTCACTTGCGTTTCATTGATCCGGTTCACATGTGTCCTTTGAGTACATTCTTTTGCGATGTGCCCAAACCTTGAACACTTAAAACACTTCCTGTTATCATTGCTCTTTTCTAAGCAACCTTCTTCCATTAGGGGACGACCTTCGCTCGCACTAGTCCTACCTGCTAAGCCAGCCCCAGGGCCTTCTACCCCTTCTTCGTCGCCTCCTTTGCCTCTTTCCATCGACTCTCTTTCCGTTGCGGGCTACCCCTACTCCACTGCACGTGATTGCTATTGATGAGGTCGCCCTCGCCTTCCAGTCACGGAATCCGCTTCGTTTCTCCTCTTGCCTTCCTGTATACATCCGTTTGGACAGTTCAATGGACAGTGCAAGCTGCTTCACCTCTTCGTAGGCCTTCTCTGGTTTTGTTCTGTGGAGCGCGCTCAGCAGTTGAACGTGCTCTGGCCAGTCCTTCAGGTTGGATAAGAGTATATGCGCAAACTCTAATGAACTATCTTCAATTGTAGCATGTGGGTTAGCCTTCCTCCCCAACTTCTCAAGCGCCACGCAGAAATCGGCAACGTCTTGATGTGGGCGAATCCTTAGTTCACGCAATTCGGCAATAGCGCGCATTCCTACCAGCCACGCTATCTTCGGCCAACAATTTTCCTAACTCTTGCACTACCGCCTCAAACCCTCTCTCTTTAACTTCTACCGGTAAGACAGAAACACTGACTTGGCTTTACCTCCCAAGTGATCGTCACCTAAGATCTCAATAAGTGTTTGATCACTTATTACCACCCTTTGATATTTTCTCCGGAACCTACGAATGAATTCTTTGAAAGTTTTCATTCTCTTTTCCTCTATAGACCCCAGGGTCGGCACAAGACAGTGATTGGAAACAATTTACCATATCAATGATAGAAGCCTGACCTGGTGTCTCTCTTGGCTCTGCCGAGCAGGTCCCCGCACAGTGTCTCCATTTGTGCTCGCAGGGCGCTCCAGTCCATGGTATCGATGCTGCCTGCAACACCGGCTTGTTCCTCATCTGATGACTAGTCACTTCCCTAGTGATGTCATAACGCTCACCGAGCCCGTCCTTTTCTTGATCCTCATTGGGGCCCTTCACGGTGTCCGCCTTTTCCTTCAATTCTTTGGTAGCCTCGACCACCTGCAATGTATCAGTATTCAATACATCACATACTGATGCTAGGATCTCACCATCCTTTTCTATGGTGTCCACGTATTGATCCCAGTCTTCCTCAGACTCGATCCCTCTCATGTCAAAAAAATCACAAACTTTCTGGTGAACTACTCTTGATGTATTGCAGGACTTTGCTAACTTTTCCAATTTTTCACACACTTTCTCTATTTCCCTCCTCACTACTTCTAGATGCTTCGCCTTATAGCGAACGGAAACCCTATGATCTCTCATTTCTTCATCAACAATCCCAGGGATTTCCCTCATCCGACCACATACATCCTCCAATTCCGCAGTAATTGAAGTGAACGGAAAGGTACAACTATCTGTACTCACCATTTGCGCCTGTTGCTGCTCCTCCATGCAGTCATCTATGGCCTCGTTCCTCATGTTAGTATTACTTCTGTTAGTAATAAAGGATAAAAGGATAGCATTTGCCGTTGATCAATCCCTTTTGGGATGCGGCACGCATTCTACTTCCATTTGTACATTCGTAGTGGCATTTGAATGCGATGTGGCCTATACAATGACTTGCGGGGGCCAGCCGATGTTCAAGTCAGTGTTTTTATCCTCCCAGACAAGTCTGGTACCAATTAACCGACCCCGGAGGGATGGAAGGCTTGGTTGGCCCGGGCGACTCACGACCCAGGATTTGATCCCCGGACCGCTCGCGTGGTAAGCGCGCCACTTGTCACTACACCACTTCCGCCCAGTAATACTCTGAAAAATCAATTCAGTTCTATGAACTTCCATTCGATACGCGTGTACAACACCGAATTCGAAATTCGACACAGATTCGAACGCACGCCGTGTGCAACACCAAATTCGAAATTCGACACAGAATTCGAACGCACACCTATCCGTCAAATCAATTCAGTCAAATGACTTCAATCGATCGATCAGCTATCCGCCTCAGCTGTTTTTGATTTGGCTTTCTCCCGCCACAAATCGATCGATCACACCACACTTAACTTTGACTCGCCCTGTCTCACGAGTCAAAGTTATCCACTGACTAACTGACTAGTACCGCTCACACTTTAGGTTCGGCCCCATGTGGGGTTTGACTGCCCCGTATAACCGGTTCAACAAAGTATGGCGGGCGGTGGACCCGTTCCACAACACTAGTCAGTACTACGAGAAACAATTTTATTAAAAAAACAACGTATTACACGCGAACACAACGAAATCGTATCACCGAGACAAAAAACAAAAACAAGGCAATAGAGATGCGCAGGGAGGTAGGCGAGGGTCGGGCGCACGGGCCACGAGGTCCAAGATATCTGAAAAGTAAAAAACTCCGAACCCCCTCCTGGGCTCTTCCCGCCAGGTCCCGCCAGATCGTCAACAGGGGGTTTCGCGCCCGCACCGGCGTTTGACTGGCAAACCTCGTTTGACACACAACTGCCTTAAAAGCAAGAGATTCGGGAACGAATCCCGGCTGGGGCGAAGGTTTTGCCCACCACTCGACTTTCTTCTGATAACTTTCGCAGCGGTGAAACAGCCGTTTCCCAATCAAAACAGGTAAAATGTTTTCGGATATTCCAATAGAAGAAACTTGCGCCTTTCATGGAAAAGGTTTCCTATCCGAACCCGTTGGATTATCCGATCCCAGATGGGGTGTGGTAGGTTGTAGCGATAGTGGCCCGTGCTTCAGACTGAAGTTCCATTCCTGGGATATTGAGTTAGAGCTTCGCACTGTTCAACTCAATCGATACATTTTGAAGGCACACTTCAGGATTGAACGGTCGCTCGTTGGAAAGGAGAGCATAGGAAGTGAGAGGTACGCGGTAAGGAAACCAAGAAAAATGACCTCGAACCTTGAAAAATTGGACTTCTTTTGCTCGTTGATTTCTGCTTCGGAATGGCCAGCGACTAACTTTAAGACGAGCTCGCTTGCACGTGTTGATCCCGGTAGCAAAGAACAAACGTTAGCGATAATAGTAACGGCACCCAACACGCTTCTGTTATCTATCATTCAGCCGTTGGTGGGCAGGCAGCGGCGTGATTACGGCCTTGTTAGGCCTCTGGGAGCATGCCCTCGCTGCGAAACGTGCACCATTCTACAACCTCACGGCTCGAATCCCTATCGACGACGGCATAGCACTTCGCTTTATTGGCCTGATCTGAGGGTTATAATCTATGGGTTCTTAGCGAGTGCAGTGTAGCAGAGATGGGTGCTCTTATACATATATCACACAGTCACACAAAGCTGTAGTCTCCAGACAAGTTTGAACATTTGTCGAGATTTGTTGCATTGTACAGTGAGCGGAAAGGTCAAGATTCCCTTAATTTCGAGGAGCGACCACTGGAAGCACTGCCTTATAATTGTCATGGTGAAAAAAGTGAACTTTTTCTCAAAAGATGCTGTCATAGTGAAAAGAACGGCAATGTTACGCTCATGTTTTCAGGCGAAAATGCGAGAATTCGTCAAAAACGGTGCTGTCGAATCGAAACCTGAAGAGTCTTTCTCGTTCAGGTAATTAAACAGTGCTCTGGTTTGAATATTTGGTTGTTACTCAAGAATCTTGGCACTTTTACTTTCCACATAGCACTTTATTCTCTTTTCAACAACCATCTTTTCAATCAGCAATGTGCCACAAATTAATCAACCAATACCCTTTGGGCGGGTATACTGTAAAGAATTTTGCCGATTGGTGATCGAAAAACCTGACAAAAACATTCAAAAACCATTCGCAATTGTACTTCTTTCTGAATTTGAGCTGAATGAAACAGTTCATCAATTTTGGAAAAATCTTTCTCAAACTAAAGCATATTTAAGCCTATTCCATGCCACGGCATAAGACGTTTATAATCATACTTATTTATATGTCAATATCCGATTTATAAATCAGAAAGAAAGAACTTCCGGAGAAGTCGTGCATCTGGGAAAAATGTGATGGAATGGGTGTGAGAGACATATCCTCCGCACGGTCCGACGTGGCCTGCAAAGCGGGAGGTATCCAGGAAGGGCCAAAAAAGTCACTCCATTCACTTAAAAAGTGTATTAATTACACTTTGTGAATATCCAAACCGAATGAGCTCAATTGCGTGTTGAAGAGTGCATTCTATTCTATCAAAAAAATTTACACCGACGACATCAGAAGATTTTCCTACGGAAACATGGTGCACGGGTCCATAGCTCAATAGTCCGTTGAGAAACCATAGACGATTACGACGTCTCTCTAACGCTGGTCAAAAGCCATTTGCATAGTCAGAGCTAGTGTCTCTAAGAAGCCATTCACCAGTTATCCGATTGAAGAAATTATGTAGCAGCTTCAGAATGGAGCGATTATGGTAGGCCTCCTTGAGCTCGACGGTGATGACAGATGACGTCATATTCTGGAGACGGTGAACGGCAGCGAAAGGTGGGCCTGATTCTGCTTATGGGGGGGGGAATCTAATGGAATATTTCGCAATATAACTCCTAATAACAGCGGCATCCTTTGTAACACAAGTTTGATGATATGCGCCATGGGCAAAGTGACTCTTTTTTTGGCCCCCACTGTATATTCCGCCACGCTGTCTATCGTGAATGTGTTAGGCATGGGTTTTCACGAGGGCCCCTCCAGCATGTTTAGTTGGGCGCGTCGGCAAGGATGATCCAGCTTTCGTCTGTTGTCAAATGAGCGGTTAAAATTTTGTCACTTACTGTATAATGCCGAGCGAGTGCTCCGGTATTGGGCCACGACCCAATATAAAAGATGTAGAATTTGATTTGTCAAAAAGGAGTAAGAATCTCATGCAACAACATTGTCACATCGAATTTATCCTTGTTTCAAGAGTAACATGCAATCGTGCTGGAGAGAAGAGTCGTCACAACTTCTCTTCTATGGATGCGGCAAGAGCATTGGGAGGAATAATTAACCGTGTTTTTGGCTGGCGTCCTGACATGGAGAACTTCGATATGGAAGTTCTGCTCAACATAAGAAATGACATGGTTAGTTAGCTTCCTCCTCTTCCCTGAGAAGTTTCAGTTAACTTGACTGAATAAGAGCTGAGAATTCTCTACTTCAGAACAGAACTGTGGAAACGATGTATCCCTCCTGTTTGGATTTTAGAAGACAAACATGACATAAACATTGTATAACACACATAGGCACCAAAATTTCTATTTCAAAAGAATTCCAAAAGTTCACAAAACAAAAATTCCAAAAAATTCAGAAGTACCAAAACGCGTGGAACAACTTGAAAAAGAAATTGAAATTTTTCCTTTAAAATCTTCCGCGATATTTCGGTGTATAACATCTTCTTCAGGCCTGAAATACATTGATTCCAGTTGGTATAATTGATTTGGTTGTTTCTTACACCCATATCGACCGTTAGCTGTAAGTCAGTTTTTTCACTCCAGCGGCACGGCTCCCGTGAGGGCAGCTTTATCTTTGGCTGTGGCAAACACATGTGTGTATCAATATGGGTGTAAGAAACAACCAACAACTATACCAACTGTACTCAATGTATTTCAGGCCTTAAGGAAGGTGTGACAAGTATACCGAAAGGTTTACACCCGAAATATCGCGGAAGATTTCAAAGGAATTCTTTTTCAAACTTTCTTGCTTTTTGGAACTTTTGAATTTTTTGGAATTTTTGAATTTTGTGAACTTTTGGAATTCTTTTGAAATAAAATTTTGGTGCCTCTCTGTGTTATACAATATTTAGGTGCTGATGAGGCTCCGGGACAGCACAAGTTTGTGGTGTATGCTTCTTGACCCAGTTCTTGATCTGGCCAGTTCTTGCTCGCCCTTTCAGTGACACAAGCCACTGGTCACGCTTTTGAATGTACAGCGCAATATATACATATTAGATCTTTTGTTTTGAATCCCTTGAAGCTCAAAGACTGACAGTCTTGGGGATCTCGTTCAACGTCCAGTCTTGATCGTGTCCAACAGCAGGCAAGGTCTTGAGGGGCTTGACAGGCTCACGTCTTGTCGTGACTTTGATTAACGCGTCGACAATTACCAGAAGGGCCAAGAGAAGGAAGAAAAAACCTGCAGAGTCGAGCGAAGGAGCGTTGGCAGCCAGCCCAAATGAAGAGCAGGTGAGACGTAGAAGAAAAGAAGAAAGACCGAACGATTCGAAGAAACTGGAGGACGAACTCGTATGTTCCAGAAGAAGCTTACCGTAGTTCGTCATGAAATAGCATCGGCCAACTACAAGATCGACGATGCTTGGAAGAAGAGCGAAAGAGACCCGAAGAGTTTGGACAAGCTCCGCGAGTTGAAAGAAAGTAGACGTCGCAGTGAAAGCGAGCTCCTGCGTAAGATCGACAAGACAAAGGAACGCATGCGCAAGAGCTACGAACAAAAGGAACGGCAACACGGAGCTCATCGTGACCAGTCACCTCGACCGAGCACCTCTCGTGGCGGAGTATAGAGAACTAATGTCATATTTCTCTATTCCCTTTGTTATCGTTGTCGCTATACATATTTGTTAGTTCATCTATACTGTTCATTAACGTTTGTCATAGAAAAATGTCGTTGAAATCTCTGTATCTGTCATTGAAAAATGATCGTAGCAAAAGAATGTTGTTCGTAGGGAAAAAGCTTTATGTTTTTCTTGCATAGCTTATCATCCTATCGGATCTATCCTATATATATCCTCTTTGGTATATAATCAGTGTGAAGACGCAGCCTGTAGCTTTGTGTCATCTGTATCGCCTTAGCTGTTCGCTGTTCGCCTGCTGGAATAAATCTAAGTGAAGAACTGGACTAAATAAATCTAAGTGAAGAACTGGACCTCAACAGAAGAAGACCCGCGTGGCTAGGAAATTTCTATAACGTCCCCTACCAATACCGATCGAAGGCATTCTCAACACTATTTTAAGGGAGCTTCACTATGTCCGGCACGCACATCAAAACATGAATGTAAGTAACCTGAACACTCTAGAAAGAAAATAAAACACCTAGTAACACTACCTAACAATAATTAATAAAAACTATTATAGCAACGTATTGCTAATATGGAAGGCCGGTCGAGCCAATTGGAGATGACGTTTTACGCAACCACATGCAAGAAATGGAACGGCAAGCCATACTTCTACCCAACATCCCCACCATTGCCAACAGCCAGAACCCAACCAACAAAACCATTCTCACACATTGGAATCGACTTAGCCGGACCATTCACAATCATTGATTCAGACCACAACAAAATCAAAAGATGGATATTTCTATTTACTTGCATGACTACAAGGGCAATACATCAAGGGCTAGAAGTGATCTAAGTGCACTACAAATAATCAATATCCTCAGAAGACTAATTTCTAGACGAAGGCAAACCGCAACTCATCAAATCAGACAACGCGACTAATTTCGTAGCAATGAACTTTTTACATCCACGGAGAACGAAGACATCCTACAAGCTAAAGCGACACAACTTTTCCTAACCAATGAAAAAATACAATGGCAATTCATAACACCTCTTTCCCCTTGGAAAGACGGTTTCTATGAACGTTTGATTGGCATTATGAAGTCATCTTAAAACGCGTGGTAGCAAAAAGAATGCTCGATGAAACAGACTTCGCAACAATAGTCACAGAATGCGAAGCCATGGTAAATTCCAGACCACTTGTACTCAGGAAGCACTATCGAAGACTCGTTAATAATCCGTCCAATTGACTTCCTCATACCTAACGCTAACATCAATCCATTACTAAATACGAACCCTACGAGCGACAACAACGACCCAGAATACATACCCAAAATCTCAACGAAAGATCAAGCCATTAAATACCTACAAAACCAATCAAACTATCTCAAGCACCTGTGGCAAGCTTGGCACACAGCGTATCTTCTTGAATTGAGAAACTACCATCAACGACGTATCAAACAAAAGAGCTTTACCAGAAAGCAGCCCCGTGTCGGAGAAGTGGTTCTCATCATGGATGAAGACATACCCCGAATCGATTGGCCGCTAGGACTCGTAACTAGTCTAATTCAAGACCAAGATGGTGCAGTCAGATCAGCTAAACTACGAACTTCGAAATCAAATCTTGAAAGATCAATCAACATGCTAATACCTCCGGAACTAGACAACGAAACAAGAGAAACTCCATCGAAGATAACACTGCAACAGTAAGCAGTGAAACAAAGCTACACACGCAAACGGGCGAAACAACGAATGCTAACACATCAGACTCAGCAAAACCTAATATAACTAACGGTCTGCGTTCACGCCTGATTCTTCCGCGACAGGCAAAAGTAAACAAAACTTACACTTACAATACAATGATAACGAACATAAGAGATACACATTTTAACCGCAGCAAGCCAGCCACTCAATTCACGTTATGGAAATACTGGCTCACTATATCCCCTTCATCAGGATGCCTGTTCTATCGCATATACCACAAACCACTCGACGAAGACATATACGAAATATTCCACTGTCCCACATGGTTCCAAACCATATCACTTGAACTCAAAATTAATGGAGCCCAACAAGTAACCAAAAGCTTTGAATTACAACCTTACACCAAAAAGTACATCGCCAACACATCCCTTGAAATCACGAAGCTGTCATTCCCACCAATATCAATACTTTACCAGCGCTTCCTTACTAATGGAAAAACAACGGCATTTATACGTCAAGACACACAATTTAGCTACGCATGTAGTATGTAATAGCGCTAACGCAATAATATGCACACAACAAATACAACCGGCGACTGCACTATAAAGGACACCTGCAAATGCAGTCCTGCCGAAGATTATGTAAACTGCTATTGCACTCACAACAATGTCTCTCAGTTCACACAATTATCAAATACACTACCTTTGCCAATACCAAGCGGCTTGGTCGCTACTGAAGGACTTAACAGCATACCCACAATTAGAACAAGTACACTGTCAGCAGAATTAATAATTCTGTTGGACCCACTCACAAAAGGTGTAATACAAGAAATTGAGAATTTCCAATGTAACGTTCTCTCATACCCACTAATTGGATGCTACAATTGCCTCAAAGGGGCACAAGCAACAATTTTTTGCGAATCAGATAACCAAAAATCAATCGCACAAGTAACTTGCGACCACCATCAATTCACACTTACTTGCACTAAATTCGGTCAATACAACTACATCCTTTTATCCTTCTATATTATAAAGCGCTAACTTTGTGTGTCGGTTTGTATGTCTGTATGTGTGTGTGTATGTATGTATGTACAGGGGGGGCCAAAAAAAAAGAGACACTCCTACTCACATTCAA